TCTGAATCGACAGATTACTTCGAATTAATAATTATTCCCACCGATCGTACGTGCCACGGCGATGAGCAAAACTGAGTTTCCTGATTTCAGCTAATCTCTGACTCTCTGTAGCTGGTAATTATAAGTCACATAATTACAGTTCACACACCTTTTTATTATACACACATCCCTTTTATTGCGATTGTCAATTCTTTATCTTTCTCTCTCTTTCTCTCTCTTTCTCAGCTGAGCCACAACTACATACGCGCAAAACTGTGAGTTGAATTGGAAAAGACGGAGCGAAACACTTGAATCAAATTGAAAAATGATCGTCTCAAAATTGCACAGTTTTATTATCGACTGACATTTGTCATAATACGCACTACTGTATGCTCCGAAAATGTTCCACTTCTTGCCAAGAATATCGTCGAGTTTCACAACGCACAAAATATTAAATCACCCAAAATAGTTGTCTATCATTTGATATATTCACTTGATGTCTGTTTTTTTTTTCTATTCATTTAACAATTCGATTCAATTCAAAGCACACACATATATTCAATTGCCTGCAATTCCCACAGCTATTTGCCTGTCAATGACGACGATGATGATTCTTTTATTTTCATTTGCTGTGTGTATTGAAAACAAAAAGAAGAAGAAGAAATATGGGACGAAATATTATTATCGTTTCAACAGATGAATATAAAATGACATCCGAATCAGTTGTGCGATGTATTATTGAATGAAAAACTGACGACAACGACGATGAAACTTTCCATTTTGATTTGGATTGCATCCAAAGAAACAAAAACGAAATAACATTGTGCTGCCGCACCAACCAACTTTACGATTTTTTTTTCTCATTCGTTTTCTTCGACTGTGAGCTGCAATAAGATTGGATGATTGGCGAGAGAAAAAAAAAACGAAAATAAAACACACACACACGCTTAAATAAAACAAAATATCACTCATTCACTCACTCACACCACACACACACAGCCGCTCGATGTGCGAGCGAACAATATTCGCGTGTGCACGATGAACGGAATATGAATACAGTGAGGAATCGAAGAAGAAAGAAAAAAAAAATTGTATAAATGAAACAACAGCACACATTTAAAAAGAGACACATACGCAACGCAACGAAGAGACCAACCGCGCCACAACAAATTACCAGCAACACGACCACCACATTCGTTCGAATCAAAATCGAGCCCAATACCGATGATATTCACATACTCATAACGAAATAATAATAAACCCATAATCGACATGCATGCGGACGACGGAGAACGAACGAATCGCTTCGACTCGCTCACCGTTTAGCAACGCAACCGAGATCACAAACATTTTTATTGATAATAACGACATAAAAATACCGATGTTGAAATAAGAAAACTCCATACAATTCGATCAGAGAGAAAGAGATGCAGAGAATGAGAGAGACACAGCAGATAAACGACAGCATAAACATTCAAGCCCGACCATTCAGCCACATTTGCAAACAAATCCAAGAATTTAAATTAATTAATAAATTTAAATTGTGGAATAACAGAAAAATTAACCAATACTTTTCGGCTTTGTTTTGTTTTTATTTTACTTTCACTGGTCAGTACACACAACGCACACACACACACCGGCACACTGGCGTTGTGTGAACGGTCGTTAAACAGTGATATGGCCAAATGTAAATTACTTGAATTCTTGAATAGATCAACAAAATAGACGATGTCAATGTGGACACACAGCGCATTGTCGTCAATAACAATCGTTCCGTACGTGAAATTCATTAAACCAGATAGTATGCGTGTGTGTCAAATGACAATAATAATAATGAAACAAATGTGTAATATATAAGAGTCCGCCAGAGATGTACGCATGTGTGAGTGCATTTTAAATGATTCAAGACGAACCACACTAGGATAGCGAAACGAACAAACCGATCACGTAACGATATCACGTACACTGCCGACTTTGACATGGTCCATACTGAATGTACTAAAGCGCGAAGGGATCGACCAGATGATGCCTATGACACACACATGATACACACATCCATTCATTCATATTCGACAACCGTAAATGAACGTTAGAATGCGCTTATTGAACTTATGAATCGAATTGGATACGAAAATTGCCTATGCTAAGGCGTTTTTACCGAAACTTTCAAAATGAATTTGCCCGCCAAATGGGAAAAAAGTCTTCCGGTGACATTTTTCCTCCTTTTCTAGATGTAGAATGAATGGAAATGGTTTCGTTTTAAAACGAATGGAAAAGTTCTTTGGTCCTGAGATAAAAATAAAACAACTTTCCATGTAATAAATTCCAACAATGTTCACAGTTATTTTCATATCGAAACGAAGCGACGCTTATTTTTCCAATTAAGACCAATTTAGCAGTTTGAAGTGAAGCGCTGAATGTGCTCAATTCACGATACTCGCGCAACGTAACATGATATTACTTTTATCCACATCCAGCGGCAGCGGATTGATGATGGAACATACCATCGCGATGGAATGTGCGCGTGGCCATTTTTGAAGCATGTGCACAACAATTTCGGTTTTGGCACTTGTTTTGTTTTGCTCTGAAAGCAAGTCAATAAAATTTCTCATCGTGTTTTCGTCGTCATAGCGGGAGTATGAATTTGGTCATGCATCAAACCATTTCGATACTGTTGTGATGATGTCAACGATATTTTCGAATTTTCTCCGCACAGTTTTGTTTATTACTATGGCGCCAGTGAAATTGTACTATAAAATCTATTGGTAGCAAATTACCGGATCAGTACTGAGTAGCATACGCGTGGAACAATCAAGTGAACAAAGTGTAACTGTCTGGTTGAACCTTGGGTTGAAAACTAATGAAAAATTTGGCAGCTTTCGAACGATACTGGTAAGTAAACTGAATTTTTATTGATGGGAAAATGGATTTCTTTGTTCCTTCATTGGTTTAGAATTATAGACTTTGACACTGACACTGACGTGAACCGGGTAACCGCTTTCAATCGATTCTAAATTATTTATTATTGTCCGGAAAACAAGCGAACGAGACTCTCTTCACATATATGGGCAACAATATATAAATTCGACGGTGTGTATGTTGTTTAAGTGCGGCGTCATCGAGTCTGAAAATTCAATAAAACGTCATTTTCATTGTGCTCGACCTTCAATACGAATAAATTGCGAGGCCGTGAGGTTAATGCATATTTAATCGGTTGGAAGCAACTCTCTGCACACAAATCGTTTCCGCCCCTGTATCGTGCACGCCATCAGAACACAACTGTATTTTTAGTTGCAAATGAATCATTTGCATATTTTACTCGCCCAAACTCAACGAAAAATCGAAGAGAATCGATTCGATGGTTTTTTTTCACTTCACGGTTTCAATTTGTTGTTTGTGTAAAATATCGATTTTTCGTTTGGGAAAACATTCAACACAACCTGGAGAATGGAAAATGAGCACAGTTAAATGTATTGTTTCCAATTCGACTGAATTCATTGAACCCATTGAAGAAAAAAAGTGTCGTCCAATCAATGAGAATCGCTTAAATTAACTGTTGAGCTCAAGCTGTTGTGTGGCAATGTCCGATATTTGTTTTGGGAGCGGCTGAAAAAAATTCAGCAAAATTCGATCCAGAACATTGATTATCGCGCAATCGAAAATATAAAAAAAAAAAACAGCTTGTTTTTAAATGGTTTCATTCACTGATGCAAGCCCCGCATTTGCATTTCAACCGAATCGAAATGAAAGCCAAACAAAATAAGAATTCGCCGGTTTGTTGTTGTCGAACACTGTTCGATCGATGCATAACAAAGAGCAAAAGCGAATACAAGACGAATAAAAACTCACTGGTAATTTCTGTCTATAAATAGATTGTCAGCTCAAAACGGTAAATCATTCCATGAATTCGAATGTGTTTTTAAGTCAGAAGACCCATAAAATTGTGAGTATTTACGTGTTTTGTAACTAAAAAAAAAACGTTAATTCTCTTTCATCTCTGCCAAAAAGCCAATACAAGCCGTCACACACACACACACACATGACAACGGATTTTAACGAGTGTATTTTATTTTTAGACCTTGTCTTCGGCACAATGCCGAACAATCGACACAGTCAATAATCAAATGGTAAATAATAATGTGTTTCCTTTTTTCCCGAAAATCAGCCGGAAAATGCAGTAGGTTGAATGGTCGTCAATGTCGACATTCAATCGTTTTTCAATGTGAAAAATGTGTTTTGAAAAGAGTGTAAAATCAGTTGTCGATTTTTCTCTCCCAAGGCTAAAGTACAATTCTTCATACCGCAGCAAATGGCCAACGAAATAAATGATGAATTTTTCCGTTTGCTTTTTTGCGAAGCATTAATTTCAACACCCACGCAGTCAAATGATCCTCTATAGATATTTTTGTAAATAACTAGTCGATGAACGGAACGAAATGAGAGCGAGAAAAATAACCTCATCGTTTCGAATGTTTGGTTCACGCTCACACTCCGTCTCTCTTCTCTCTCTCTCTCTCTCCTGGAGTTCAATCGGCTCTCTTTTTCTCTTCGCTTACATTTGTAGCATTCGGCGTTGTGTTGATAAGATACATACGAATCAAGCTGTACGCTCTCTTACTATTGCCTCGTGTTTGTGCCTTGTTTCCAATGCGAACAGTGTCACAGTGTGTATGAGTATGAGTATGGGTTAGAGAAACGTGAATGCATTGGCAGTGTTTGTGAGCACTGGCTGTGTGCTGTCACACTTGCTTTCCATAGTGACGTTTCCATCTGACAGGCATTGTACACATGCGTTCAAATCACGACAACCATACAGACAGTGTGTATCGTTGTGAATGGGCCCGACCACACTCACACACATGCATATACACATACGTCCAACACCTAACAAAGCATGTTGTCAGGAGTTTGAATTCACGATTCCGTGCTCTCTCTCTCTCTCTATCTCTGTCCATCGTTGTTTTGAATCAAATTCAACTGAATTAAAATACAACGATGATTCGATTTCAATGTGCGGCATTCAACTGTGAACCATTTGTCGGTTCCAATGTATGTGCATCACGCGTTGTAATCAATGCTTCCATTACGAATAGTTTCAGAGTTTCATAGTAAAAGCGTCAGTGTGTGAATGTGTTTGACTCATTGAAGCGCTATAGTAAATACTAGATACATTCACATATTTCGTTTTGGGCTTAGGAAATTTCGAACACATGAGAAAAAAGCCAACATCATACACACCATATCAATAGAGAATGACAGAGAAAGAGAACGGGCGAGAGTAAGAAAAAAATGTGACTCAATGAGCAATATTCTCATGTTGTACAAACCGCGTTCAGTTTATCGTCGGGCCTTGTCGCCGTGAGGCGTGTGTTTTAATATAAAAATAAAGAGGAGAAGAGAAAAATTTGTATTGCGCAAAACGTTGTGCTCATCGATTTCAAGAGAGAATTTACCTTTTTGTTCGCAACACAAAAATTTTGTTCGAATAAAACGACGTCGTTTTTTTTTTCTCTTATAATTTGAAGTGAATACAAAATTGAGCACGAGTTTTGTGATTGAAATGGCAATGGTGACATTGGTGTAATCAAAAAGGTTTTTACAAACAGCGACAAATGCCATCGAATTTAGTGATATTTTGTGAGTGTTGTTCACACATCACGATCGAGCAATGAGTAATGAAAATGTATGAAACAAATGTTTAATTCGTTGTGTCCCAAAAATGCCAGCGAACACTGAAGCTCAATAAATGTTGGGCCATAAAATTCATTAGCACACCGAAGAAGAAAAAAAAAAGTGTCTCGTCGATCATGTGCAAAGTGTTTTTGTTATGATTTTACGGCACAGGAATAATTTCCGATGTGCTACGCCAAAAAGTGATTAAAACGATCAGAGTTTGCACAATAATAATGAAGCTGAAAATAATTTGAACAAACGAGGAGAAAAAACAGCTTGAAAATTGTATACTATTTCCGACAGACAGGAGGAGGCAGAGGAAATATAAACGAAAATTGAGAAATAAAAATGTGATGATGCACAAGACAAACAGAAAATCGGATTGAAGATTGAGAACGCACACACATAGTACGCATCGAAGCCAGAGCAATTTCTTCTCAATTTCACATACGTTCGGTTTTTTTTTGTATGAGTATTGGCATTGCTTAGTGTGTGGCTCACACAGAACCCAAACTACGACTGTATAGAACATATATATATCGCAAGAGAGTTTGCAAGCAACAACGGAAAAAAATGAGAGAAAAACAAAACGCGACATCATGATGCGAGAGTTATGTATAAATCTCAGTATTTTATGTACTTGCGATTGGCGTTGAATCGCGTATTTGTTCAATTGAAACTTTTGCGTTGGCCGTTTAACGAATAGCAAACACCGCGAGATATACTACAAATACAGAAGAAGAAAACCAAACATATCAACAATATTGAACGTATGAGTATGTGAGATGGGATTCCGTTTTTGGAGTTGAACAATTTCCAAAAACACACACACACACACACACACTCCGCTCAAATTGTGCACACGAATGCAAAAGAGGCAACAAAAAAAAAACATTTATATCGAATGAAGGAGATCGAAAAAAAAAACGAAATAAAATATTGACACAAAGTAATCAATTTATGCATTAAAAAAATAAGACGATCCAAAAACAGACGGACAAATATTGCCATTTGCATTCGATTGTTCCGATTTTTTGAGTTGCATTGAATGGCAAAGGACGCGCGCCAAATAACACACACAGCGCATCAGCAGCATCAGCAGCAGCAGAAGCAGCAACACAGAGACTCGCGGTTTTATTGAAAGCTATATACGCGTAGCAAAAATAAAGGTTTAAAATTAAGTGTGACATAATAAAATGCAGAGTTAAGGCGTTCGTTCACAATATCGTGAGAATCACTGTTTAATCCACATCAAACCGTTAGCAGAGTCAGTTCAGAGGCGATCGTGAATCGTGAATAACAATAAAAATAATAAAGAAATTGCTTCTGCAAAGATAAAAACAAAACGCACTGAGCATCAACAACGGACGCAAAAACATTATTTTTTTATTTCTGAAACGAAAGAAGCCGTACAACTCCATATGTTTTGTTACTATTTTAATCTCTGCTTCGCGATTCTGTGCGAGTGGTTTTTTATTCTGTCATAGGCCCATTGATTGGTCTAGTTTTTTTTTTTTTCATTTGGTTTTGTTTTGTTTGTGTCCATCTGTTCGTACCCGAAGCGCTGCCAGTGTATTAGAGGTGACGTGATCGTGTGTATGCTATATTGTGTGCAGAGCGTATATGTGTGGGGAGCTAATCGATATCTCTCGCCAGTTCGGTGCAGAGACTGAAGCCTACTCATTATTTGTTTTGGTGGTGCGTCCGCGATAATAGGCTGCTTTCATCGTTCCCATCGACACGTTTATTTGAATATTATCGCTTTGTGTCGTCAAAGTTACGGACAAAAAATTATTAAAAAGCAGCAGAAGCACCACCACCATCACCAATAAACTGTTATCAACCGAGAAAACTATTCAGCGATATCTGTTCGATCTGCCAAGTCGAAAGCGGGCGCGATTTTGTGGACGAAAAAAAAAAATTGTTGAAATAGATACGAAAAGAGTGCAACGGAAAAAGGAACAAAACAAAAAAATCTGAGCGCGAATTAACATCGCGTTTAAATTACAATCAACGGCAATTGAATTGGGTGTTTGTTATTGTGGCTACTGCCGTTTGTGTTGTTATTTCTTCTTTTTTTTTTCGTTCGTTCACTTGTTTTGCATTTTATCATTATTTATGTAAATTCACGTGCGCTTCACAATTTAAATACAGTGAATTAATGTGTCTACTGTTTGCTCAGATCGTGTGCATATCGCAATCGAAACGCTAGCAAACAAAACGATTTTGGACGTTTTTTTTTCGTTTTAAAATTTCGCCGTGGAACTGTTGAAGGCGGATTGAAAGAAGCAAACAAAGAAAAAAAACACTCTATCGAATAGTGAGAAGGTGAGCTTGGCTTGTTCATCTAGTCGAGTTGTGCATATTGTGTGTGATTTAAATCAAGGCGTGACCTCATCGATTGCTTTTTGTGTGCGAATTTCATTTTTTTTTTCTCCTTGCCAACATTTCTAAAACTGCGCTCACGCGAACACCCAAAATCAATTTTCAACGAATTGAGTTGAAATCCATTCACTCGAGCAGAGCAGCAGCAGCAAGAAAAAAAGAAACGAGAGAATGAACAAAGCAAAAATACACTCGCCGAATGGCCATTAAGATACAAACAAACGAAAAGAAGAATAATAAAGAAACGTTGCATCCAAAACAAACCGCAAGAAGCGAAAGAACAAAGGAATTGAATCAGTTTATTCAGTGGAAATGAAACCATTCGAAGAACAGTTTCGTTCGGTGAAAAGAAAAGTGAAGACATTTTTGTGACATTTCGTGACTCTTTTATTTATGTGAACGACCGCAAAAAACGACGATATTTTTTTTGTTATTCGATGAAATTTTTCAATTGTGGTTATACAAACGCACGCGAAAAAGTAAATTGAAGCAGCAGCTATAGCAAAAACTTTGAAACTTTGTGACTGCACGACAATAAAAAAAAAGAAATCAATAGAGAAATTGTATATATTGTTCGTTGTGAATCGGATTCCAAATTGATTATTCATCAACATGCGACCGAATACATTGGCCGTTGCCACCAAGTATCGAAAACATCTGGATACACAGAAATTCATAAGGTAATTTCATCGTTCTCTGACTAGAGAGAGAGAGAGAGAGAGCACAACACACCCGAAAAAGGAAAACGGAAAAGAATGCAAAACACGTGGTGGATGTGCGCTTCCTTTCGCACTGTGTGTTTTTCAATGCAATCCATTTCCTTGTTGAATGTGTGTTTTTTTGTGTGTGTCTCTCTTTCTCTGTCCCTCTTTCTGTCTTTCAACACTTGTTGAATACATTCTTGTCTGTTCGCAAGCTGTATTAACATACATTCGCCCTTTGTCTCCGATTCTCCCTCTCTCTCTCTCTCTCTCTCTCTCTCTCTCTCTCTCTCTCTCTCTCTTTCGATCGTCACCCAAGAACGTTTTTCAACAATTTGAAACAAACATTTTCTTTTTTGTTTACAAGCGATAGTCGTAGTAATGTGAACACGCCATTCATTTCATCAAGATATTAAATTTTGTCAACTATTCCGGAAACAGAAAGAAAAAACGAAAACACCAGAAGACGTGATTTTGTTTATGGGCGTTTGAATGAAAGTTTAATTTAAATGAAATGTTCGTTTGTTTGTGGGCAGCGCGTGAGCATATTTAGAAGATTGACAACAATTAGAAGATGACAACATCACGATAGTTTTTCTGCGCGTCGCTTACATTCTCGACTTCTTTTTTTAATAAACAACAACAACAGAGAAAAAACGCGGTGTTTTTAATATGAACTATAATTTGCGCATTAATTCAAGTAATATGAATAATATCACGTAGATGAATGTATGACTCAAGTTGACTTGGTGCACTCCTCTCTCTCTGGTGTGTCGTTTTGCTCGATCGATAGTTGGAAACAATTAAAACGGCTGCCCAAATGATCTATGCGCGCACGATCCATGTCTCTTTGTAATGGTCAAACAGTGTGTACAATAAAATACCTCATTATAAATTAATAAATGAAAACGGATAGGGAAAAAACATTGTGTCATCATTATTTCAACATGTTCATGATGCGCAATTTGTCGTCATTTGATTGAGGCAACAAATGACGAGTGGTCGATGTGAAGCGGCGCGTAAAACGCGTGAATATCACTTACGACTTTTGTCATATGTGTCAGCGTCATCATTATCATTGTTCAAAGATACGGGCGAAATGTGCTCCGCGCGCACGCGCTCTAATCACAAGCAACTTACCAACTCATATTTGGATTGTTTTTTTCCCTTTTGAAATTTAAAAAAATATGAAAAAAAAGCGGTAATTTACATACGGTTGCGTATGCGATTGCTGCTTTTTTTCTGTTCAAATAACTCTCTCTCTCTCTCTCTCTCTCTCTCTCTCTCTCTGTGTGTGTGTGTGTGATCGTCTGAAGTCACATTTTAATTTTAAAAAATAGCTAAAACGCGTCGTGTTTTCATACTCATTAAATTCTAATATCGCATTCATCAATCGCATAAATTTCTTTTTTCTCACGAAACTGTGACGAAAGAAGCGTTTCGAATGAATTAGCATTAATCAGATGCTGTTTACGTCGGTGATAACAGAAAAAATCTTGGTAGAAATAAGAAAAGTTTAGAATAAAAAAAGAAGAACGAAGAGCTAAACTGTGCCAAAAACATGCGCTGTTCCTGCGGAAGTTTCGTGGGTTATCGAAGAATCTAGATTTGAGTCAATGGTTGAACTTTAGCTATTAAAGTGAACGACCTTTTTGAAGCAATCGAAACGAATAATTAAAATGCATTAATCCAAAAACCTGAATCGTCCGCATCGAATTGATCGTGAGGCACATGTGTATGATAGTGGCAATCGTAGTAATTTTCTGCCTGAGAGCTGGAGTCGCATTTAAAATTCGGGCTTTGATTTAGTGATAGTCATCAAATAGATAACATATCTACATAAATAAGCCATTTGTTTATCACACGTAATTAATGTGCTGTTGAAACTCCTTGGTCTTGATTAATTTGGAACAAATTGATTTGGAGCCCATTTTTATCATTTAGGTAAATTGCTTTCACAAATGAATCGCTTTCGTAAACCGTATATGAACATACCCATAAACACACACACAATTCGAGTCACTGAACTGCCTAATCAAGCTCGATGCTTTCATTTACATCACCAATTTAGCCTTCATATTCACCTCTACCCGCTTGGAATCTTCCACATTTTCGGCGCACAGAAGCGATGATCAGCAGAAAACAAAAAACACGAAACAGATCGCATTTAAAATGAGAACGGAACGAAGACACCGCCATGAATTAAACAAGCAAGCAAGCAAACAAATAAACAAAAATCAAAATACGAATGACATCATTGTTGAAAATTATCAAAATTTAATTGTGTGTTCAATTGAAAGGTAGATGTAAAACTGGTAGATGTGGTTGTGAATGGATATAATTATGTGAGTGTTTTTTTTCCTGATCGAGCCTCTACTAGAGGCTCTCTTGTCATTTAAAACCCGAATCTAAGCTAACACACTAATCAAATGCGTAGAAACTGAAACAGATACCGTATTTATAATTAAATTTGAATAGTGTGCAAACACACCAATTTTCTGCCATTGTTGTGAGTGTGTAGAATGAATATAATATTTATTCGCGTATAGATGAATAATTTGGTGTTTGTTTTCCTTCGTGTAAATGCGATTTACGGCAAAATTTATCATTTTTTAGTTGTTAAAGTGTTGAACGGTCAAAAGCCTTTTGTGAGTGAGTGAGATTGAGGCGCGCAATTTTTTTTACAATCGATTCTTCCTACAAATGAGTGGATGCTCGACCCACGCACATTTGCCTAAAACAGCCTATGATCTCTCTCTCTCTGCCCGCAGAGTAACTCTATCGCCTGTTGAATTGAAATGTGTTTATATCACCATTGACTAGTTTCTACAGCACACACTTTTTGCTCCCGCCATTATAACTGGCTACAAATTTTTGTTTCTCATTAATATTGGGTAAACATTGATAGATTGATCTGATGTTCAGCAAAAACAAACACAGTGATTCACCGTCTGATTCGATTTGGTTCACTTGTTTTCCAGAGGAAAATTTCGGTGCAGTTTTGTTTGTTATGATTACGAGGTGGTTTTACTTTATGATGTACAGGCACACACTCAATATTTAAATGCGTTGTAAACAAATCGAGATCAGTTTATTTTGTAATAGGCCTTGTCATGTTATCCTTTCCATTGTGGCATACGTTTATCGTGTTCGCACACTATCTCTCAATTAGGCAAAAACGACAAAAAAAAGCGACGCAGAAGTCTGGTTTTCTTTCTCGATATATAAATCACACACGTATGAAAAACGCATACCGGAAATTCAGGTTGATATAAAAAATGAATAACGGTCAACCTTTTTATGGTTTGCTCGAGGCGTATCAGTGTCTGATCATCGTCTTTACATGCATCGTCTGATTCGATTCGGTAATATGATTAACAGACGGCTGTAATGCAAAAAATAAGGTACTTCATTTTGAACGATTTGATTTCATTTTTGCTTTTATGACTGCAATAAATCCCAAATGTACTACTGCGATTTCGTTTTATCTACTCATAAAATGGCTAAATATTTTCTTTTTATTTGCCCATAAAATTGCAAACTGAAGACCATGTGTCGAGTTATTCAAGAAATGCGCGCAACAACATAGATAAATCGATAATAAAATGAATCGAATGAAAGAAAGAAAAAAATGCCAATTTAATTTGCGAACTAGCAACTGATTTACAGTTTAGCTTGTCGACCCGTTCGATGCGATCACAATGATTGTTTTAGAAAATGATTTCATTTTTCATTATTTCGAAGTTTAAGACTTCAATTGATTCCATCAAATCATCATGAGCACACCGAATGTGCCGTTTGTGTGGTTTGTTTATTTTTATTGATTGTTTCACTCGGTTTCGATATGAACGACGAGAGATGTACGTGGCCTATCAACACACTCTCTCTAGTTTCGAATAAATTACGGTCATAAAGTTCACATTTTTTCTCATCATGAGTCAATGAGATATTTGAAAGTAATTCTGGTTTGGAAGCAATTTATAAATCGATCTATCCACTCAGGCAAAGGTATGACTGACGCACACATGACGCACTCCACATGCGATACCAACATGATTGATCTTCGCGGAACAACAACACACACACATTTCAGCGAACTAATACTACAAATAGATGTGGCTGTCTCATCTGCTTGACTACAATTGCAAATTAATTTAAATATATTTAAATTTGATCAAAGATGTCAATCTTGAAACGTTGACTGAATTGAGCGCATTACTCACGGGTCTTCGAATCTGTTTCACACATTTTGAACACGTGTTTGAGATTCTTAACTCTGGCTTAGCTCGAACACTTTTTTCCCTTTAAATGATCTTTATCATCAGTAAATTTTTAAGCGATTAGATAGTTTATTTATCGATGAAAGACTGGTTCCGTGAACAACGTTGCCAAGAAAAATCAACCAACAACGACGGTTTTGGTGTGGAATTTAAATGCCTTTCTGTGACAAGAAAAAACATATTTTATCGAGAAAGAATTATGTAAATAGCTCTAAAATAGCACCGAATAGTACAAATGTGGGAGCAACGGGAAAGAATTCTAATATTGCGGCAGTCGTAAAATATTCATAGCATCTGTTTCAGAGTTGGTTTCAGCTGTTAATTAAGGTATTATGGTGATTTCATGGGGAGAAAATGAGAATGTTTTATATTCGATCCTTTTACGAGATAATTGCCGAAAAAAAAAAATATTAAAGAATACCAATTTCCGAAGGCAGCCCCTGTGAAACGAGAAAAAAAAACATGCAAACGTTTGAGCTCATTATTACCGTAAGAATTAGCAATATTTTGGTTTATCCACTAAACCAGCTTAAATTATATGTTTGACCATACTACGAAACACACCAAATGGTCATGTTATAATGGTATGACACATCACGTTTGCGGTACCTACTCGTTTCTCCGGTCTCGGTATTTTTATTATGATAATAAACTCATAAAAAACCAAAGTCAAACCAATCTATCACGTTGCATGCTGAAAGCTGTCCAACACACACATCATTGCAATTGTCAATAGAAAGGTGATCGGCGCTCGTTTGCTCACTTGTATCTATCGTATTTTTAAATTGCCCCCTGTAACTGATTAGATATGTACAAGCGGAGATTATCACTGCTGCAAAGCACTCTCCTTTGTTTTTGCCTGTACATATTTTTGACATTAGACCATAATCCAAAGAAGATAATGATATTGCTTGGTGCAACATCGTTACAATGTATTCAAATTGATACAGTAGCCGTTTGAGTGTTAATTAGCGTTTGAAACTCGTGACCAATCACCCACAATAAACTTTTCCAAGCCAATAATTTGGTCATGTATTCAAATCGGGTGATGCATTTGGCCAACGACAAATGACGAATCCAAACATATGGACCATTGTACCACATTCGAAGCGATCAGATTCGAAATCGATGAGATGGCAAAAAAAACACCGCATTTGACTATTAAGTAAATATTTGGAGTTGGCTACGAAAATTGATCCAGTACGACGTCATGATTATTTTCATAGTGAATTAAAGTGAGAGTTAGTCATGGGCTTCATTTATGAAAGCGTCAAGATGCATGTGCCCACGCTCAAACTGCGGCAAAACTAGTTTTTTTATTTTACATACGTTGAAGTAGAGAAGGAGCAGCGTCAACAGCAACCACAAGCAACTAAACAAGTCTTTGCGCTTCCTATTCTAGTGGAGTTGGAATTTTTCCATGTAGCAAGAGATGTTTCGAAATGATGAATAATCTGTCGTGATATTTACTCATATTTCGTAAACGGGCTCGGGATTTCAAAAGACAATTAAGCAAGGCATCTCCGCTTAATCGCCAATGAACTTTGAAACTGAAACCATGGCATCATCTTGGCTGAAACAATATTGTTGGTTGTAATCGTAATACAGAGGGGAAATCAAAAGACATGTTTTCTATTCCAAAGACGCAAAAAGAAAACAAACAAACAAACAAAATTACTCCACTCTATTAAGCCATAAATTTGCCTAATAACAATTGTTTATGGCCTGTTTAGCATTAATTTGAGATAGAATTAAGACATTCGTTTTGAAATTTAAAGTAGAGAGCGCGCGCAAGACCGAACGCTGTTTTGTCGCCAGATTGTGTATAACAAATCAATTTTCTCACCTAGACAAACATTCACCATTTTTCTGTATTCTGAAATGTATATAAACAAGATCGGCATGTTCAACAGTTGTTTTTTTTCTGTTCTTCGTCGTTGCGTTTCTTGGAATATTTGCCACATTTCCGTTAAATTCAATTCATAACGCAACTGATTGCTCCCCTCCTCAAAAGGGCATCCTATTTTTACTACACTTAATTTAATGCATCAGAAGAACATTGGGAGTATTTTTAAACGTTGAACGGTGATATCATGAAGTTGATTTTAATTCATTTTTGCTGTTATGCTGCTCGTTCTCTTTTTCGTTGTTATTCGTTGTAATTCATTGATTTATCTTTGGAATTGCGCGCTTTTGTAACATTTACCGTGCGCACTTTTCGTTCCATGTTATATTTTCATTATTATAAATTCGTTCAATTTTCTGCCTCGTTTGTGAATGAAATGATTTGTTGTGACGATGAACAAGATTGATGTATCCATTGAACGTTTTTGTGTTTTCTCACTTCAGCTCAAGTGTTTGTCGATGTCATTTTCAAGCGGTCGCAAAGGCTTCAAAAGTGAAAAATGAAATTGCAATGCGGTGACAAAAATAGGAGAAAAAAAAAACAATCAGAGCGAAATAGAGTGGTGTGAGCGTCTTAACAAGGGGTCATGAATACAAATACGGCATAGGCGATCATTTAACTTTTGGGGCAATTACATTGAAACGCGACGACCACCACAATTGTTGGCGATTCAAATCGAATATTCATTACCTTGATCTGCAATTGTGTCAACATCAACAACACAAATATGAATGCGCCTTGTTTCGCATTCTCGCCAAATGACACTGATGTCGATCACACCGACAACTATCAGGAAAAAGAGTGTGACAAATCAACGTGCGTCGTAAATGATTCAAAATCTGTTGTTCTTATCGTCTGTTGCGACCAACACACTGTGACGTACGTTCGATTCGAAATCTTGAAACATTTTTTTTTTCATTTTTTCCCAAACAATTTCTATGCAAAGCCGATGAGTGGATAATGCGATAAAACCGTCCAATATATATATATATATCAAATGCCACAATCAAAATTGCTAGAAAAAACCTCGAAAATATTTCTACAAATAAAAATTTCGGTCTAGAAAGAGCAAGAGAGAAAGATAGAGAGAGAGAAAGATAGAGAGAGAGAGAGAGAGAGCGAGCGTGAGAGAGTGCAACGGTGACTTTGTCATATACAGAAATAAACATTTCATTTTGATGTGCTGTATGGCTGTTAGACATAACCATAGATAGAGACAGAGTGAGAAATAGAAAGACCGAGAGGTAAATGACGATTTGAAATTTTCAAATGGGTTCGATTGTGTGTGCGAGAATAAACTATTGAATTGCAGTCAGCGCTTTATATATACCCGAATTTTGTTTTTTTCTTGCTTCGTTGAAATAAATATTGAAAAGGCGAATGCCTGAGAACGGGTGAGAGTTGTGTACGTACGAATGAGCCGAGTGAGAGAGCGAACGAGAGTATGAACGGTTGTCCGTGCGCCGTGTATATATGTATAATTGCAAACGAAACGACGAGCGATGAGATCATAACCAAGAATAAAATACGAATGTTGTATTGCTCTGTGGTGTGCGAGAGCCGTTTGTTACATGCTTTGTTGTTTTTTCCTTCGTTTCACTCCAAAGCCGTCGTTGTCATGTATTTTGGTTGCGTGCACATGGGATCGCTAAACGATACCGACTGTGTAACTGAACTACGTTTACGTTAATTTCATTGTTTATCACATTCTGTTAGCAGTTAGTTTTTTTTTTTCTTATGGTTCTGCGTTCGATAGACAACATCGACGACGTAGAAGAAGACGACGAAGGGAAAATGTGTATAGTTTGTGTATTATTTTGGGCACAAGCACATTTTCATATTTGAACAAAAAATGAAACAAAAACAACATCGACCAGATCATGACGATTCGTTTCCATTGGCGTCCATTAACAGCGATCAAGCAAATCGCGGAATCGATGTCGTCGTTTCATTTGTATTTGTTTTGTGGGTGTGTGTGTGTATGCTTCGTTTCTATGAGATTTATTGACTATTTACTTCCCATTTTCGAAGCGAGTGCATACGTAATAAAAAGAAAACCACAAACGAAAACCAATACGAAGGAAAGAATGACAAAATACAAAAAAACCAACAATTTGTACTGTAAGTGGGCAATTATAACATCTTGGCTCTCGTTTTTCGTGCTTATGAATTTTCGAGAAAAAAACTCGAAGGCTTGATATTTTAATGGCGTATAATATTCATCGATTTATTGCTATATATTAAACGCTGCGATGGACATTGAAGTTGAGTTGCATGATGAATGCTTTTAAATTTAGTTGGATTAAAAATATTCTGGTTTTATTTCGCTTCTCTCCACATATTCGTTGGTTCGTTTGTCTTTTCCACTCGTTTATATGTTCATAATAGGTGTTTCACGAATTCAGCTTTCGAGTTCGGAACCGCAGACAATTTGGCAATAGCTATGTGTATCAAGCGAAAAAAGCAACTCCCAATACCCAAAAAAAAAAATTCGACTGAAATGCTTTTGTTCCAAGAAAAAGTAGTCACCATCAAAATCAAGTCACATTGGGTATATTGAACTTTGATGATGTTTTGAATTAGTGGAGCATTATTTACTTATTTCTATATTAGTTGAAGATAATTCAAAATTGCGGATTTAAATATTAAGACCTTCGCTCCTTTTTCTCTATCTCTCTCTCACCTTCTTTGGCCTGTGTCAAAATCAATTAGTGGTTCACATGTATTTGAACTTAATTGGTGATTAAAAAAACACACACATTATTAATATCGGTGTTGTCACTCCTTCTTTGTTGTATTTACAGTGAGGCTCTGCATGCATGGCGAACGAAGGCCCGTTGCAATATAGTTCCAGCCGAGCGACTGCACGAACTGTTTGAAGAGCTCGATTTCAATCCGACCGAAAAACAAAGTAAGTCGAAATTGTTTTTTTTCTAGCAGACAATTGACAAGTGTGACCAATTTCAATTGTTGTGATTTATTTGTCGAGTTGACATCGTATTAACTTTGTGTTTTGTGTCATTATTTCTTTTCCAATTGTGATGTTAGTTACCGAAATGTTACAAACGGCAAAATTATTTGCACGACGTGGAAATGGTGGACTTGAACGTGGAATGCCGTTATCAAGTCGGCATACGAACGGATTGACATTTGGTGAATTTTGTGCGTTGGCCGCCGATTTGAAACGATTTCGAACCCAATACCCACTGACGACGTCATCGCGAAAAGACAGTGCTTATACATCGTTCCACGAATCACAAGCGCCAACGAAAAATGGCAGCAAAGACGAACTGAAACCAACCGATTGCAATAGTGCGCCCGAAGTATTTTTAGGCGGTTCGTGTAATCCAACCACTTGGCGAGCCGATGTCGCCATACCAACATTGGAAAAACTAGGCATTTCATTTTACAATCCGGTTAGTATCATTCACTTTATTAATTCCACTTCACGAAATAGAAATGAAAACGGAAATAAAAATCTCTGCTAATCGGTTTTAAAGTGAAAAATTACCCTATTCCGAAATTCAGTCTATGAATTCTAAGCGGTGTGATTAAATTTCGTTTTCGATCTTTGCAGCAAGTATCGGATTGGACACCAGATCTGATTGAGTTGGAGCATCGGGCAAAGGAGAAAGCACGAGTATTATTTTTTGTCATGGATTCCGAAACACGAGCTTCGGCGGCAGCCATTGAAGTCGCCTACATCTCCGGCCATAATCCACGGCATTTGGTATTGGTATTGAATCCATACAAACCCGAACAGTGCATTTTGAATGAGCCCATTTCACCACAGTAAGAATGAAATTCAATTTATTTCCTAACAAAACTAATTCCAAATTTCAAAATACTTGAACAAAATTGTTTTTTTTCCTTTGCAGAGAGTATATAGATCTGAAGAGAAACCAGCAGCTACTGCGAGAAATTGTTTCACGTCGTGGTTTGCCCGTTTTGGATGACGTTCCCTCTGGTCTACAGCAAACGAAGGCCATTTTAACTGGTACATGCTTTTCAGCGCCACAAAATGTTGCGTCGAAGTTGATGTGAGTATCAGTTAATCTGATGAATTGATTTGTTAATCGGTTAATCGGTCAATGTGTTTGATAACAGAAGGTGTCCTTTGATAAAAAGCCAGTCAAAACATCGTCTAACCAAAAAAAAAAAAAATCCATTCCAGAACAATCCGAAGGGCATTCGATAGAGCGTTAGGCGATCAATCAGAGAATCCAACGGTTGAACGCATCACATTGGAACAGTGTCGTTGTGCCTTGAACTTCTTGGGCTGTTCACAAAATCTACTACAAATCGAAAATTTGTCTGACATTGTGAAGTCTCATCGCGACATGAGCAATTCGAACAACCGAAATACAGCGTCTAATTCTGAAATCACGATTGATTTCGAGGAGTTTTGCGTGTTAACGTCGTACCTTACAATTTTGCAAGACGAAATCAGTGAGAGTGGTTGTGTGTCACCGATCAAGGGAACAAATTTACCACCGCCGCCAATTTTCCTCACAAATACACCAGGTGAGTCATCTAAAACCATCACGTTTGAATATGTTTAACCTTTAACATCCCATTCGATCGTATGTTAAGTTCCATTTTCCTCTTTTTCAGAATGGCTTCACACACATTCGGGCATCGTTCGACATGTACTTGAAGAACGAACGACGAAAGCTACTGACACACACCGTGACAGTGGAACATCATCACCGATCAATCCAGATAGCAATTCAGAGTCTGGGCACTCGAGCCGAAGCCTAAAAATCATCACACGAAACGAAAATCAATTGACGAGTTTCTCAATAAATTTGAACAATGCGGCGCCAGCGAAGGGCATCAGTTTTGATCGGCAAACGACACACAGTGACGAAACCGAAGAAGAGCTCAGTGATTCGAATGATTCAGTATTCTCAAGTGGCAGCTCAATCGATTCCATTCTCAATTACAATGGCCAAGAATTTGATGAAACTGAATCGCTGGATTTGCGCGACATTTACTTGGGTGGAAGCTGTGCGCTACGATCAAATTGGCGAAACGAAGTTATTGCAATGTTGAATGAACACGACATAACTTATCACATGCCACAATTGCACGAGTCACTCATTCATTCACAGCATAGCGATTTGGATGGTCGATTGTCCACATCACCACCGGTTCAGAATGAGCCAAGCTCATCGAAACCACTCGAAACATCGAGCAGTAACGATAGTGGCATTAGCACTGGCCAGCCTAGAAATAGCTATCGCACAGCAAACGGAACGGTCATTTATCCATCGGGCAAACGAATGTTCCATTTGTCACTGTTGGAATCGAGTCGAGTGCTTCTATTCGTAATCTCAAATGAAACCAGATCACTGGCACCAATGACACTGGCCGCACACTGTGTCGGCATGGGATACAATGTGGTACTGTGCGTTCAAATGCTGTCCAACGATTGCTGCATTGGAGATGATAAGGTAATTTTCATTTTGAAAAAATCTATCTTTTTTTATTTATTTTTTTTTTTAGAGAAAAACACTGAAAATCATTTTCAGCGACAATGATCGGTTTTTTCAATTCAGAAAATTTCATTTTATTATTTTTCCCTTTCCTTAAAATCTAAAAGACCATTTTGTTCGTTACATATTTCAATAAAAAAAAAATCCCTCCTTCAATTCCAGCTCACATGTGCTGCCGTGAAAGACTACAACCGTGGCCGTTCCTACTTGATAGATTTGGCCCGACGACAAGATGTGCCGGTATTTAATGATCTTAAGCAAGCCGCCGAATGTGCCATTGAAAAGGTGAAGCAATGCAATAGCCGATCGGCAACGTGAAAATCGTGAAAATTCACCAGCGCCGGCACAAAATTCATTTCTCAAATATTCCTCGAACACTAAAACAAAAGATACGCTTGAAATTTTTTATTCAACTTACTATTTTTACTACCTTTAGAACAAATATTGTATAAGAATTGATTAAGGAGACTTTTAATTGTTTAATGTATAAGTGAGGGAATGTGTGTGTTTTTTCTTCTGAAAATTATGATTGTTTTTTTTTCTAGTAAATTTGTGGCAAAGCCTTATTGTTTGATAGAGAAACAAAATCTGGAATAATTGTATTAGAAACGCTTTTTTGCAAATTAATATTTTAGCCTTTCACTCTCTGAATTTTGGACTAATCTTTTGATATTTTCATTCGAAAGAAGAAGAAGAAGAAACGCAATGAAACTAATTAAATCACACCTAATTCAAAATATATATCTAATATAACATTTGAATATAACCAGAACCACTAATCGAAAAGTGAACGAATGAAAAAGAATCAAAGTCTCTCTAAATTTAGCTATAAATCGTATTTGAAACGAAATAAAATGTTTTCTACATATTATGTATATTTATATTATTTAAAATTGAATGTTATGATGAATGAACTTAATAATTGAATATGGAAATTAATCCGAAATAGAAGTTAGTGGTGAAGATGAGTTTCTTTTTTGAAATCAACACCGTGTTTTTTTTATATATCTGTATGTCATAGGGAAATTTACTTATTTTTTACCAATAATACGCAATGATTCATTTTGAATTTTTTAAGCTGAACTATTCGATTAAAAAAAAACATTTAAAAAATCCACGACTATGTGTTAATAAATTGACTAAACCGAATAAATCTAATATTCAATGGGTTGTTTTATTCAGAAGAAGATTCCAATGATTTTTACAGCGCATCAA